TAGATCATTTACTCTAGAAATTTAATAATCATACAAACAGAAAATTAATTTTATCTCCAGATAGAATATGTTTGCTTTAATATGGCTGTAGTAAATAATTTCTCAAACGACAAGCCAAACAGTAGCTCAAGATGATGGGGAAAAAAAGTTTCCTTTAAGTTGCACTTTTATCATGCTTATACTTTAAGTGAGATGGATATTCAAAATAATAATTACTTTGTTACCTTTCTGCTTTGTTTCAATATACACATTTAATTCTATAGTCTGAATGATACTCTTACACTTAGGCTAACGGATGTTAAAACTGTCTGGCTGAACGTTAACTCAAGTTGCAATGTATTTCGTTGAACTAAACTTGTGTCTGTTCGAATGGGTGTGCTTCATTTTTAATGATGGCTCTGCAAGCGCTGACACAGGTCAGTTTGACTTTTTGCCCTGTCCTTACATAAGAAGCCAGTATAAAGAGATGGGTTTATTAAATTTGTTCTGTACATCTTGTATTTGCTGCCCAAAGCTATTAATTGATGCCTGGAAAGAGTGAACAGCACAAAATACTTCCTAGATTTTTGGGAAACAAGTGTACACCTGGGAGGAACATTTTGTAAAATTTTAAGTGTTACTCTTAATTTTTTTTTTCTGTTCTTAAGCATACAGAAAAGAAAGTAACATTTTATGAAAACCAGAATATTTTTCTCTATAAAAAGATATCTTATTTTAATATAGAAATAAAGTTATAAATCAGTCCAAGTTTTACCCATTGATGAAAGAATAAGAAATTGTAGCCAAACACTGTAAGAAACTTTCTTTTTGCTTCTTTCTCCTGTTTTTTTTTTTTTGTTGTTGTTGTTTGTTTTTTGTTGTTGCTGTTGTTGGTTTGGGGTTTTTTTGTTTTTTCTTTCTTCCTCTTCCAGGCTACATTTTTGTTTTGTCAGAAATTAGTGCATGTTTAGTAGGGAATATACAATGGAAAATAAGATTTGAAACCCAAAGTGGCAGCCTGACCAAGGGTCGAGTGAAACTGCTGAATTTTTTTTTTTTTTTATAGCTCTTTAAGAGATTTGAATTGGTAATATCCACTTTATCAGGAAGTTTTGTGTGCTTTGTCAGTGTGCGTATGTAATTCTTGCTCAGCCTTAAGTCCAGTAGCACACAAACTACCACTGTATTTTTCAGAATTGAAAGTTCACAGATATCCTGGTCACCAAGCAGAGACAGCCTTTGCTGGGATGCCGTCTCTTTTCACAGCTTTCTAACTCTGTACAGCCCTTCTCCTTAGAGTCTCAAACATGTTATGTAAATGCAAAGATATTTAGGGAGGAGTTTATTAAGATTGTGTTGAATGCAGCTTTCATTTTAGGTCAAATTCTACCAAGTGCTGTGGGATCAAGGAAGACGTTCAGGTTCTTTGGACAAAGCTAAAACTTAAATTTTTCTGATATTAAAACAAACAAACCAAAAAGCCCCCACACCCCAACACCTCAAAAAAAAAAATCCTCCCAATTTTAGAGTTCAGAACTGTATTAGAAAGGTGCAGTATTTGAAATAACACCCTGTGTTGTAAAAGCAATCTTGGCATCAAAAAATTGGGTTTCTTTCAAGAGTTACGCACAGGGAAGGGACGTGATTGCTAACTTTTAAAATTCAAAAACTGAACACCTGCAGATAATTTTATTTTTAAATGTTTTCAGGCTGAGTCAGAATTAATGGCAAATGGGAACTGTATTAGATTGGCAGATGATTAGTGAAATTTATCACTATAATATGCTTAGCATAATAAGCATGGTGGTCTTGATTATTCAGTGACAGTTTGTGTAGTAATTTTTCCATTAAAAGACTGTGTCAGTCTGTCAATAAATACATTCATTAGATCAAGTATTCCATGCTTAAAACATGTCTGGTTTCAAAACTAATATTAGCTTTCTCCAATAAGACAAGACATCAGTAGTATTCAGATGGTTTACAAAACAGACATTAGACAGATTTCAAAACCATGAACTTAATAAAAAGACTGAAACATTAAATACAAGCACATCCTGGTAGCAGCCCTGTCTCTGTATGTAAGTCAACATGAAACAGGTCCAGGTAGGTTATGAAAACTTAGATTAAAATTTTTATCATTTTGTTCATAAACTACACAAGTCACGGTTACATACAAGAGTGAATGAAGATTTCATAGATGTAAAATGTTACAGTATCTCTTTCAGAAATTGTCCTAAAATTCTAGAAAAAGCTCACTTGGCTTTGTGTGTGTGTGTGTGTGTGTGTGTGCGTGTGCTCCAAATCCTACGTCTGTAGAATGAAAGTTCTCTCATGGGTAGACTGTAATTGTGATGTGTGGTCAGTCACTAGCCTTAGTTCTCTTAGGTCAATTTTTTTTTATTATCAGCAATTTAAAACTTTCTTTTTATATGAACTCACTTGTTTGAGACTGCAAATAGTAGTCAGTAACATCTCAGTTTAGTACGAGAACAGTACCACTTAAAGTTGCCAGAAAATAAGTGTTCATATAATTTGGATTAATAGCTGAGATTTAATATTTTGTCTAGTTTATTCCTATTGATGGAACTCAAGGAGGTACTCACGTCTTATTCTACTCTCTTTCTCTTCTCACCTGCCAGGTTTTCTCCAAGGAAGTAACACCCTCTCTTCCTTAAAAAAAAAATAATATCAAAACAAACTCCCAAAGATTGCGTTAGTCATCCACGGGTTTATTAGAGATTATTTGTAACTGTGATAAGAAATTGGACTTTGAATTTTCTAAATATACAGGAGGTAGAAGAGTATTGAGCAATTTTTCTGATTATCTCATGGAGTAATCTCACAGGGTGTAGCATCGCTGAACTAATGGCCCTCAAATAGTAACTTATCAGAGCTGCTCAGGGATTCTTGCCATTGCTATAAAAAGACATTTGGCAATAAGCAGTATGTCATATTAGAAGCACAGCCATTTACTAGAACATAAATATGCTAACATACTTCACTTACAAACTCTTCAGTGGCATCTGGTTCTAGAAAACTAGGTAGATGATTTGGAACATCACAGATAACTAGTCATTCTAAATACTGTAATTTTAAAGCAGTTGTTTCTTGAAATGGGTGATAAATTGCGTCATTTGTTACGTATTTTTGTTGGGCATTTCACCTGACCTTTCGGAGGTTTTTTGGTAAATGCTAATTAAGAAGTGATGACTTATGCATAAGATTCTTTAGGTAGTTTACATCCATTTTGCAGTTCAACATTTGGTTAATTCTCAGAGGTAATTTCTTGACCGAAGTTTTCTAACCTGAGGTCTATGCTTTTTTTTTTTTCTTTCTTCCCTTGAGCTAATGAGCATATTTAACATGCTGTTTCCTTGCCTCTGTAAGAAATTAGCTTGCCAGGTGTTAAGATTTCTACATCTTTCTCTTGCACTGCTGGAGCAGCTTGACTCTTTTCCCCTGGTTATTGCTGTTGCACTCTGTTACAGTCTTGCTTGCAGGAGCCGTGCAGCGGGTGATGAGCCTGGTGACACTGGTGTAGGGTTGGTGCTGTCTCGTTTGATGGCTTCCAGATACAAATGGAATCCTGGTTGGTCATCATGAGTCGCATATGATTGCTGTATTTAGGATTGAGGGGAAAATAGGCCATATATGCAGAACGCAGATGTATTAATTTGCATTTTCCAGAGTGTTACAGACTTCCGTACAGGTTGCACTAGACTTGACTTTCACTCTTGGCAGTAGTTGTAACTTCATGAGTAGCTGCCTCCTTTCACAGTTTAAGTAAACTTAAGTCAAAAGCTGTAAGCTGATCCTGGGATTGATTGGTGGTGGATTTGGGCACATTTGAGTGTTAAGGCTGGCGAGGAGAAAAGTGCCTTTCCACTGCCTTGATGGACCTGCTAATTCTTGGTTCTCTCTTGGGTCTGTGGTTTGCATATGCTTGGTTGCCAGACATGTCTCTTAAGCAGGTGTTGATTACACAGATCATCGAGGAATCACAGGTGCCCAAGTATCGGTCCAGCAAATGGTCAGTGTAGGCAGAGCTGGGTGCTCCCTGAAGCTGTCAGGTGTTTGTGACTGAGAATTCCTTGTTCCAAAGAACTACTTGTATAATATACACTATTTTAACCTAAGTGGTGCTAGCAATATATTAATGCTAATTAAATAATTTATTTTCTAACACATTGATCGATGGAACCTAACCATCTGAACATTTGAATTAAGAGTGATCTTTTGTTTTTTGGTTTGTTTTTTTTTTTTTTTTTTTTTTTTTTTTTACTTAGTTTGGTTTGGTTTTGGTTTTGCGGGGTTATTTTGTTTGGCATTTTTGGGGGGGTTGTTTGTTTGTTTGTTGATAGAAGAATATATGTTGTTCCTTTTGGTGTTGTTCCTAAATAGAAATACTCCCTAAACTGGTCATATTGTGAAAAAAAGCAATAGAATTAGTAAGAGGAAAAGAAAACAAACACAACACCCCAAAACCAACGTAGGTCAATACTTGAGCTGCTGTTCTCAGGGAGGTTCCACACTGAAGGTCTAGCTAGTAGACCATACAAAAAGGTTGTAATGAAGTGAAAGTTAAAATGATGGCTCCAGTATAATTTTGAGCATTAGGAGACGTACTTAAAGATAATTGTTATCTTTTGAAGAAATCTGATATTTAAGCTTGATTGGCCTGAGGACTGTGGTGTCTCTGATTTGTGTGTCTGAGATCTAGGTTTGATTCTCACTTTCTTATTTAAGATGGAGAGTGGGGAGTGTGTTATTAATAGCGAAGCTGTAGTGGCTGAGGAATGTAGCTCCCAAAGTTAAAAGACTCTTGTAACCGACTGGGGACCAGCACTGAGTAGAGCCTCATGAATTACAGTGAAGCTTGAATCATCTCTGCTCTGTGTGTGGCAGGGGACCTCCCAAGCCAATAAAGGAAAAATGTGAATGGAGTAAATGACAACATGAAGTATTTAAGAATTGTTTCTGTATGGGAGCTTAAAACCCCCTTTTTTAATTTGACTTTTCAGAAAGAAGACACAGCTCCTCCAGCAAGCCACCTTTGACTCCTCCTTCCTCTTCAGTATTTTCCCTCATTTCATCTTTCCCTTCAAAAAACAAAGGTAGCAGTGGAAGTGGGAGCAATCGTTCATCCAGTGGAGGTACTAGTGCATCATCATCAAATTCCAAGTTGTTGAAATCACCCAAAGACAAGCTGCAGATCAGCGGAAACAACAGGTTAATGCATTCGGTACAGCATAGCAAAGTTCCCCATGATAAAATGTGAGTATGTGTTTTGACAAAGAATTAAAAGTTACTACTTGCATAGACACTGCTATATCAGTAGAATTTCCTTTTGTTTCAGAGGGTTTTTGGTTTAAGGGATAACCACTGTAAACTCCTAGATCTTTTCCAGCAGCCTAGTCTAAGATTATAGATAATACTCATGACTATATTGAACAAGAACTCTTGCAAAGCTGCATCTTAGATCATGATAAATAAAGGTCATTTTCCTTAATTCTTTGATCTAATCTGCATACTTTGATCATAAGGGAGTTTTAGCTCTGATTCAGGTGATTTTTGACCTGCACATGTGAGATTGCAGTACGGATAATATAACTTATTCTCACAGAATGGAGCATTTCTCACTGGATGTAACAGGTCCGTTCCAGTTGCTTTGGTGATACACTGTATCTGTGAATCCAAATAGCAGTTTCTGAAGTTCCTGATAACTCTGAAATGCTTACAAGGAAATGGGGAAAAGAGGACTGAAGAGATTATGGACATCGTAAAAAAAAAAAAAAATGTGAAAATAAAAAAGATAAGAATAAGAAAACTGGGAATAAAGGAGGAAGGTTTACATTTGCATTGTGAACAGATCAGAGTGTTGTTAATAACATATTTTTAAGTACCTTTTATAATTTATGACTACAATTTTCAATTTTCTCCCCTTTGTTTTTCATAAATAATAGTATGACTCCATCTGTCAAAGTGGAAAAAATTCATCCAAAGATAGATGGTGCCCAACTGAAAGCTGCTGTTGGTCCAACTTGTTCTACTACTGTGAGTTCCTCAATAAAGACTGGCCTTAATTGTCCCTCAATACCAAAGCCACCCTTGCCTTCCCCTGGACAGATACTGAATGGTAAAGGTCTTCTCTCTGTGCCTCCATTTTTGGAAAAGAAACCTGAAGAAAATATAAATAATAGGAAATTTTTACATAAAAGATTGTCAGGTAAGTGTGTTTAGTTATTATTTGCTGTATTGCTCTTAGTAGTGTATCTATAGAAATACATGTATAGAATATACAGAAATAAGTTTCAGAAGTAAATTAAACAATTTTATAACACTGTAAATTGTAATTAGATACGCTTTATGTATTAGAATTTAAATCTATAACTTGACATACTCTTAAAGGACACAAACAACTTGAAATGTGGCTGTTGCTTTCAGAAACCACACAGACCTCAAAGACGAGTCAATTCTTACAGTTTTAAAATTATGCACTTCCTAGCACCTCAAACTCAAAAATGTAAACCCAGTCTGCTCTTTGTACTTTTTAAACACAGTAACTTTGAGTGTTAGTAGACTGGTAGAAAAGTTCTTAACAAGAAAACCAATAACAAAAATCGCTGTTTGTTTGTCACCGTTCACATTGATGGTGACCTTTAACATGCAGGATCTACTCCTCCTTTGGAGTCCATTACAGCTGTAGATTTCTTAATTCTGTTTGTAAACTTGAGATCTATATTTCAGCACACCAAAAACTTGCTGAGATTGTAGAAGATTTTATTTGTACAATTTTATTGTGCATTTTTATTTATACATTTGCCCGTGTTACATTTCAAAACAGTTTCCAATATGGTTAATTTTTCAAAATGTCTTCTGATAACTTTTCAATACTGTGTACCTTTGACAGAGAGAGAATTTGATCCTGATATATACTGTGGTGTCATTGATGTGGAAACCAGGAAACCTTGTACTAGGTCTTTGACATGCAAGGTAGGATATCTTAATCAGAATAAGATTAAGTAAAGTTTTAATTCTATTTCCTGAGGAATATTACAGAAAACAGAACTACAGATTTTCGCTGTCAGTAATTACCACTGTAAATGGTACTTCTCAAAACAAGTTGCCTAGAACCAAGAAGGAATAAGTTCAGTAAATTATTTATTCAAAACATACTTCTTAAAACCTGGAGATTTGTATTTTTGTATAAACCCTTTAAACGTGGATGTTGACATGGGACAGATTATGTTATTCCACACGTAGGTAGTGGGGTGTCAGCGTGTTTTTCTTGTTGGGCATAACCTTTGGGTCATAGATCATGAATTTTAAAATTCCTTATAAACATTAAAAGTATTATTTGTTTATCCAGGATTTAAATAAAGCAAGCTTCTCCCCTCTCCCCCAGCCCCCCCTCTTCCCCAGCAGACTCTGCAGCAGATACTTAAGAGGTATTTGTATAACTTGTAAACAATGCTGCTTGATGTAAAACTACAGCCAACTCTGAAATGAGTCTTCTGAAAAAAACACGGGGTATGCCTGGAGATTAAACTCTACGTTAAACAATCTGTAAAAATTTTTGGTCAGATGAAATGTGTCCTCTGGCTCCAAAATGTTGGGGGACAGAAGGGTAGCGCTTAGTCCCGAGGAACTGAAAATCCAGATCCCCTGCAATTGTGTAACATTGAGCTACTTTCCTGCAAAGCAGCTAAACTGTCAGTAGGGGAAGTATCTGGTAAATAAACCACCTACAGAACAAAGGTAAATGCAGCTGGTACTAATGACCCAGAGGAACTGAACTTGAACACATTGCCCTTTTGGAATTACAGGGGGGATGCAATTGTTCTGCTAATAGAGGGAAAAGATTCGAGATTTTGCAAGAGAACCAAGCAAATCAAAGGGGTAAAAGAGAAAGTAAAAACATTTCTCAGCAATTCATTATATTATATCTACTCATAAAATATCTTTCAGAGTTGTTATTTGTGTCTGAATTAGGTGATAATTTTTACCTACTAAAATGAATGCAATCAAATCTTTTGTGCCATGTGGAGAAAAAAAAAAAGAAAAAAGGTATTGTATGAGACTTTAATAATTTAGAAAAATAACTTGCATCTATTTCACTTTACCTAGAATTTGTGCCATATATACACATACACATCTACTGTGTGTAGCATTCAGGATACTCAAAGTAATTTGAGTTCTGTCTGACGATGGATTCTGCTGTAGTTCTTTGCGTTCCTTAATATCGATTTTATTATATTAGTTTTCAAGGAATATTTTAGTATATAGAAGGAAGCAAAGTATTTTTATAAATATTTTTCATGTCTCCCACTAAAAGTCAGATTTTAAGCATTATGATGTTAAATATTTTCATAAGTGAAAGTAAATATTTAATATTTTTGGTTGTGCACTAGTTGGCAATTAAAATAACAGTGTAAAAAAGATTTTCAATTCTGGTCTTAACCTTATAAAAAATTTGGCAGTTTCTTTTTAAAAAAATAAATTTGAAAGATGTCTTTTATTCAGTTGCTGGGTTTTGTTATTTTGTATCAGACAGGGATATAATCATCCACCAAGCAGTTTTAAAGTTTGTTTTCCAAGTCATTCTTCCATTTGTTTACTAAACCCTGAGTGTGATGATTTTCTCTGTTTTAGAGCTCTAGGCACACGTTTCGAGTGTTTGATTTCGACAAATCTAATAGCCTGGGATTAATGATTGATTTATTCATGCTTTTGCAGACACATTCCTTAACCCAGCGGAGGGCTGTACAGGGTCGAAGAAAACGATTTGATGTGTTACTAGCCGAGCACAAAAGCAAAACCAGGGAAAAGGAACTTCTTCGACATTCGGATCATCATCAGCAGATGCCCCCTCTCAGGGAACCACATCCCTCACCTACTAAAACTTCCCAGGAGCTGCACCAAAATTCTCATGGAGTTACTCTTACAGAATCAAAGCCTTTATTACCTAATAAACCCAAACCTCACCCCCCCAGTCTTCCAAGGTAAGGAAAATCTGCAGATCCAATGGTATGAAATTAATACTGGTGGCCTCATCAGGTGGATTTTGAAAGAGCAGTATGGATCTGTTGGACAGGGCTGTGGTTTTGCTCTAGGCCTGGTGACCGTCTGTCTGCAATTAGCGATTACATGCTGAGCTGTAACTCTTAGCAAGGAGGGTTTGGGGTTTGAAATAGTAAAAGCTGACTTGCATCACTAAAAGTGGTTCAGCAACAATTGGGCAAAGCTGCTTTTCCAGGGGTACCGTACCACCTGGCCTTCCTCATGGTAGATGTCTTATGAGTCTATGGAAAACACCAGGAATCCAATAATGTAGATTTCCTTCTGTCAGTAATAGTAAGCACTTAAACCTGGAATTTTTAGGTAGACTTGGTTCAATAACACCTTTCCTGTTTGCCTTGCCCAGGCCTCCAGGCTGTCCAGCCCAGCACAGTGGAAATGCCCCTAGTGAGTCTCCTTCTGTCCACGAGTCCCCGCACCCTCCCTTGCCTGCAGCTGAGCCAGCATCTCGGTTATCCAGTGATGAGGGAGAATGTGATGAAAAAGAAGAGCCTGTTGAAAAACTGGATTGTCATTATTCAGGTCATCATCCTCAACCAGCCGCTGTACGTTTTAAGTAAAAGTTAACCTTGGTCTCTTGCTGGCTTTGAACTTGTCAACAGATTACTTAAGGTTTTTAAGGGTAGTTTTCTATTGGGTATGTTTGGGTATGTGGGATTTTGTTTTTTGTGGTTTGTTTTTTTTTTTTTTTTCCTCTAGATTTTGAAGAAATTACTTTGTCTTAGTACACTGTGAAGATTTAACTATAGTTGCAAAGTAAATGTGCTAAAGAAATATGTTTGGAGCTCAGTTCCCCAATCCAAAAGAAATCAAAATGCCAAAATACTGATGATGAAATTGATAACTGGGTTAAAGGGCTTTGGGTTTGGAATAAGGATGTACAAACAGTGCCTTTTTGGTGAGATTTGGATATTGGACTTTTGCACACACACAGAGAGATTTTTTTACTCAAGTTGCCAATCATCACAGTAAAGGTAGCAGTGATGTGTTGTTTTAATATTTAAATCTTGACAAAAGCTAGTCTAACCAAAAGCACAGACTTTATTGCCTAGCCTGTGTATCAAATGATCTTCTTTTTAAACAGACTATGAGCAAATAGCTGACAGCTCATCAGAAGTAGATGTTACATGTATATGTTATGTTTTTATACATGTGCGTACAAACACACACTGCTGTCCTTCCCTGTTTAATCAGAGGGATTAAAATTTGACAGCTGCTTTTGGTCCTAAGTATGGAAGTATCAGATGGGAAGAAAATTACTCCAGTATACCAAGACCAAAAATTTAAAATAGTTGTTATACCACAGAAATAAAAGTTCTAATTTATATTCTTTTATCCTTGATTTAAATGTCTAAAAGAATATTCATTTAGCAATATTTATGTATTATCAAGTGCATTGTTATTCAGAGAGTTGTTACTGAAAGTAGAAAACACTAATAAAAAAATCTGTCTTTTCAGTTTTGCACATTTGGTAGTCGGCAAATTGGAAGAGGTTATTATGTGTTTGACAAGCGGTGGAACCATATTCGATGTGCACTTGATTTCATGTTGGAGAAGCATCTTAATTCACAGATGTGGAAGTGAGTAGAAGTGAAAGTTCTTACTCTTCTTGGTATTTGTAGAAATACACGAAGCCTGTGATTCTAGTTAAAAAGCAGTAATCTCGTGTTCAGATTCATTGGATCAAAGGTTGATAGTCTATCCTTTATGTTTTTTGGAACAATTAATTATTAATGAAATATTCTAGTGGCATTAGTCAGCCTCAAGATACAATCACTTTAATGTAGCATTATTAGACTGGGTGTTATTCTGAAGAACAGTAGCTATGTAGTTTTTTGTTTTTCTGTTCACCTGCAGGAAAATTCCTCCAGCATCCAGTAACACAGCATCAGTTCGTGCACCACATCGGACAAACTCGATGCCTGCTTCACAGTATGGTGTCAGTGCAGCAGGTTTCCTCTTACCCACCACGGTTATGTCATCGCCAGCATTGGTATCTCCTTCCTGTGTGTCTCTGAATAATAAATCGGTACCATCACATGGAACAACACTAAATGCCAATCCTGCTACTTTGGGTGCAGTGGATCCTGTCTGCAGTATGCAATCAAGACAAGTGTCTTCATCCCCTTCAACACCTACAGTGCTTTCCTCTGTACCTTCACCTATGCCCAGCAAACCTCAGAAAATGAAATCCAGCAAATCTTTTAAACCTAAGGAATCTTCTGCTGGCAGTGGCACCTGTAACAGTACCGGCAGCGTCAGTAGCAGCGGCGGCTCAGGAAAGAAGCGTAAAAACAGTTCCGCACTGCTAGCACCTTCTCATTCCACAGAGTCCTTTAGAAAAAACTGTGTGGTTAACTCTGGAAACTCTGGGACCTCCTATCACCCATCGGTGACAGCTTCGTCCCACAGCGTTGGCCTCAACTGTATGACTAGCAAAGCTAACTCCGTTAGCCTCAAACATGACCAATCAGGGAGGGGTCCTCCGACTGGGAGCCCTGCAGAATCGATAAAGAGAATGAGTGTGATGATGAACAGCAGCGACTCCACGCTCTCCTTAGGGCCGTTTGTTCATCAGTCCAGTGAGCTGACTGTAAATTCACACAGCAGTTTTTCACATTCACATACTTCCCTTGACAAATTAATAGGAAAGAAAAGGAAGTGCTCACCTGGTTCAAGCAGCATAAACAGCAGCAGCAGCAGCAGCAAATCAAACAAAGTTGCCAAATTGACGTCGGTGAACAACGTTCATGCAAAACACGCTGGTGCAATCCCGGGGACGCAAGGACTGATGAACAATTCTCTTTTTCATCAGGTATGAAATTTTGTCTCGAACTAAGCCAATATGAACATGCCTCTTCACGTGCTTGTGTTACAGGTGTTCTCTTAAATTATTAGACAGCCAATTCCAGATCTTATTCAAGTAAAAGATAGTTCCCTTTTCCACTACTAATTTTGAGTGTTTTTATAGTACATTTACACAAGATTTTTATAAACACTCCTATAAAGCGTAGCTTTTTTTTTTAGAGTAGCCTTAAACATGACATACCAAGTTCCTTAGATGTTGCCTGTGAACTGCGCTCAGATGAAATTCAGTCCTCACATTTAAAAAAAATAATTTTAAAAATAAAACTTGCCAGCCAGCCATAGAACTGAGCTGCATGTCTCAGCCTGACTTCTTGTTTCTGTGTCAGTAATAAACATTCTACAAAGTGGAACATAATGATGCTGATAACAGAACTGTGATACTGTGATAAAATAAGCCTATTATCCCAAGGTGTCATTGACTAACTTCTTAGTAATAACACGATTAAATGTTATAAATAAGATACAAACCTTTTTGCTTGGTAAAGCAAACAGACTTATGATAAAGGAAGCAGATTTCATGAGTATGTAAGATCCCATTTTAAAAATTAGTTTTGGGTTGTTTTGGTTTGTTTTTTTGTTGGTTGTTTTTTTAAACAAATCACAGTGAAAAGTAGTGTGTTGGGAAAGTTCTTGATAAGTTAGGATGAGAGACAATTTAGAAACTGGTAGCTCAGCCTTCTTAATAATACTATTCAAATTTACTTGGAGGATCACTTGGCAAGGTAAAAAATAATTTGATACAGCTCAAGGACAGTGTAGAAGATGGAATTTTAGAGAGTAGCTAACTAGATTCTTCGAGATTGAAAACACAAGAATATTTTTATTTCCTCTGGTGCAAATAACCTGAAATCTGTGTACCTGGAGAGCTAGGAGGGTCAGTAAGAGTTATTTCAGAACTGTTTCTAAATTTTCAGTTTCAGCCATAGAGAAAGATTTTTACAATTATGTTGTGTTTACTGTAACAAAAAAAAAAAAGGCATTCAGATGGCTGAATTTATTTTTGGACTTATAGTTGCCGTTTCAACTGTGCAATATAAACAAATGAGAAGTATGATTAGAGTGAACTAAGGAAGGAAATCGTGTCTGAAACTATTATAGCTGTAAATAGCTTTAGCTTAAGAATCGTCAAGTCTCAGAGAAGCCAACCGCGTGTCAGTGGTGTCGTGTTGTGCCTGCTGATTCTCCCCAAAATATGCTCTCGTTATCCAGAAAATGTCTTTTAAAGGCATCTGCTGTAAAAGCCTGGCTCACTCATCCTTCTCTTTCTTTCGCTTGCTCAAAAGCCAAAGGCACGTCCCTGATAGCTGAAAGCACCGCGGTGAGAAACGAACTGGACAATTTTCACTACAAGCAAAACCTCCATCTGGATTTCTGGACTCCAAGATGCCTTGAGTTTTCCCAACTTCCCATGGTCCTCAGGTGTGGAAATCTACTGGACTGTCACTTAAACAAGGAATTTCCCTGAAGCCATGTCTGTAGCAGCGAATATACTAGAAAAGGACACTGGATGAAGTTCAGCCACATAATTGCTCTTATCAGTGTTAACGGTGGTCTGGACTGTTTGCTACAAATCTGTGAGATTTTACTTACAGGAGTACATCATCTTGCCACTATTTGACATAGATTGGCTGGGCAAACGAATGTTTTCTGGGGGAAAATAAACGTTACTGTGGACTTATTTTTATACTGATGGTGTCTTTTGTAGGTGATAGCTAACCAGACAGACACCCTCAATGGAGAGGACCCCGTGACAAGGGGGAAAAATGTGTGAGGCACAATGGAAAGAAGCCCTCAAGAAGGGAATATGGCTTTAGTGTTTTTATAGCAATGTTCCTTTAATGGAATATAAAAATAGCACAATTCACAAAATAATAGTCTGCGTTTTGCCCAGCCTTTTGCAAGTAATTTGGGATAAGAAGCTATCAGGAGTTTAAAAAAAAAAACAAACCCAACAAAACCCAGAAAAACTTGTTTGAGGCCATCGCTCAGAAAACAAGTATAAAAGTGTCATACTTGCATGATACAAAAGCTATTTTCCATTCTTTCAAATAAGATTTGATTGCAGAAGAAAATCTAATTTCGTTTTTTAAAAAATCCAAAAACATCAAACAGACAAAGGCAAGTAACCTCTAAAACTTATATGCCCAAAGAACATATTTATTGACCTATATTGTATACCATAGGCCTTTGTTATTAAAAAACAAAACCAAAACCAACTGTATTGGTTAAATTAGGCTGGATTTGCCTTCCAGCCAGTAAAAATAGCCCTTTTAAAACTAATTATTTAAAGTATTTACATATTTTCTAAAAAACATAGAAGTCAGTTTCTTTATGCCTTGTTTGTAAATCGTTAACATGTTACACTTTCAACCACCTGGTAAGATTTTTTTTTTTTTTTTTTTTTTTTAAATTCTGGAATAAACACCAATTTGACAGCAGAATTCACCGTTAAGCGCAGATGTGTGCATCACAGTCATCCCACACCTACCCAGGCTGTATGAATAAAGGGGGCTTTACACAGTTTTATATAGTCCAGTCAATTTTTATGAAATATTTTGTCTTGCTTCAAAACACCTCAGAAGTGAATTCCGCTAAAGGGCTTATTGTATTAATGATTTGATTCGTCTGGATGTTTTTGTTAAGTTTTTAAACATCAGGTAAAGTCTCAAAACTGACTAAACTTTTACTAAGGGGGCAAAGCAAAGGAAAATAAATTCCTAACCAAGAAGATATTTTTTTCTGCCTTAAAGGGGCACCAGCTATTGCTGAGAAGAGACAATCTGAGCCTGTCCAATTGTTCGTGTAGCCCAGCCTTCTCCCCAGTTCTGGTGGCAAGTAGTACATCAGGGAATCCAAAGCCACTCTGAGTAGCAGTTGCTTAGTTGTTTACCTAACGATGCTTTCAGTTTAACCTGAACTTGCTACGAAATCATTGTTATACAGCAAAACAACAAGAAGCCTCTATGCAGACACTTTAGCTTTGGATTGATACAAAAGATCACACTGAGAAAGCAACGTACTAGAGACGCTTATTATGCAAACTTTAAAAAAAAAAAAAAAAATAGACAACTTTTCAGGAACAAAAGGATTCGTGTTTAATAAGATGCCCGGTTGAAAGGTTTGTTAGAACTGCAATTGGTTTAACGTTAAAGGAACCAAAGTGATATGCCACAAAGAAATCAAAGCGTATTAAGTCCTGCACGTTTGGAGTGAAATCCACACTCTGAAGACCCTGGGGCAGAGCTTCCGCTCCAGGAGAGCGTCAGTCACAAGTGCAATTTGACTCTTAGTAGACACAAAGGTAAAGGAAACAAATTTGGCAAGATTGAACGCTAGTGAGTTTGTGACAGAACTCTCCTCTGTTTTCTTTATGGTTTTTTGCTTTGTTTTGTTTTTTTTTTTTTTTTTTTTTGAAGGTTCTGTTGATCTGAAAGCATAATGGCAAATTCGTGCTCCTCCGATAGCATGCAGGTGTGTTAAAAAGCGAATTCCTGATCGCTGGTCGTACAGAGCCAGTGTCTGCACAGTCCCCTGTGCTGTGTGGGTTTAAGCCATTGGGAGTAAAGAGTTAGAACATCGTAAATTCTGTCTGCCCTTGAGCATAGACCTGCTTAAATATTATGTTTTAGATCTTGATTATAAGCAGAACATTGTTCCTGAAGCTTTTATTGTCACATAGTTCTTACTGTAAATAATTAAGGAAGCTTAAAATTAATTTTCCTTGCAAAATTGAATTTGCAGTGGCTGGGTTGTTTCTAGACAGATTTTGGTATTAATTTAAGAGATACAGTTTTTATAGTCTTTCCAACTTCTCGTTATGACTCCTGCAGTTTTCTTAACCTAAAAAATTGCTGCAATGATGAACAAAGAATTATACAAGAAAAAAAAAAAAAACATACTTTTGTATCTTTATTTTGGAATTTGTTGTTCTATTATAAATATTGAAGTATCCCTATTTCAGAAGACATATTTTGTTAATTGATTGTACATATTTAAATATGTATTTTTGCACAGGTCTTTTTTTCTTATATCCAGTTTTGGTACAATTGAGATCATCTAGTATTTATTTATTAATTAATTAAAAAAAAAAAAAGCAAATACCTTTTTATAATTTGAAGTGGTTCACTGCCAAGCCAATAGTTAACATGCCTACTTTGCAACTTAAGGGATGCCTCCGTTTTGTGAAAGCTGTGTCCCTTTTCATGTCTTGGGAGTGGATACACGCAAACTACGGCCCGGGTCCGGCGGTCGGGTTCAGCTGCGGGAACCCGGGCGCAGGATTGGAGCCGAAACGGTCGATACGGCATTGCTTATCAGTTGCCTGATTCCCAGAAGACTACATTTAGTTAAGTGACACACTGCTTCTCTTTTCTTAGTGTTTGTGTGCGTGTGTGTGCGTGCGCATTTGTGTGGGTCTCATGTGGTTTAAAACTAACGGAAAAACTGAAAGTGCCTGATATAACTAGTTTTAAGCTTGGACTGTTTAGACAGCGTCTCCTTAAAAGACTTGAATGTTCAGTTGAAATTTTGGAGCTTGCTTTTTCCACCTATATATATATAATATATGTGTGCGTATATATATGTATGTGTGCGTGTATATATATATGTATACACATACATATATATATATATATTTTCTGAAATTAATGAGATGGGTTGACAAATGGAAGTGAATGATGCCGGTAACTTTTGTAAAATCTTTCCATTAGAATACCTTGTATTGGAACAATCCCACTGATATCTCATATTTAATATAATGCCAAGGGTTTGAAATACAGATTTAACCAGCAGTTTATTTAACTGTTTCATTCTGGGAAGGGAGGGAGGGGGGGGCTGGTATCTGTGAATGAACTAATTTAGAAAATGTTCAAAATAGTTGGTATTCCAGGAAAACAAAAGAAACAAAAAACCCAAGTAAGTACCTCTTAAAACCATTAAAAAATAAAGATGTGATTTCCAAATGACATTTCTAAGGCAGTTGTCTTCCTGTAAGAGTTCTCTTGCCAAGGAATCTCTCTCTCGTCTTTCACTCATTCTGTCCTGGAGGAGGGAATTGGGCCTAGAAAGATTCTTAAATGTTTCACTGTTCAGCAGAAAATAATCATTTTTACCTTTTGTGCAAGATATTTTACGTTTTAAAGATAATTTTAAAATGAGCACTACATAATGTCAATGTGAATGTAGGCCTTGAAAGCATATTGCTCAGTGTTGAGCCTGGTTCTAAAAGCAATCTCCTGTGTAAAATGTGTGAATAGTTTGATAATTTGTATACATAATCAAGAGCATCTGATCAGCTGAACTCTGTGTTGGCTGCTGTATAGTACATGAACAAATGTCATGGGATAGAAAAATTACTTTGGATATTTAAAAGAAAAATAAATATATAGTCTATTTGTTTTGTAACAAGTTTCTGTAAATAAAATAATTTATACTATTTATAAGAAAAAGTTGTGCTTTGCTTCATGAAAAAGATTAGTTTGTTGAACAAACATGTTACTAAACAAGGCAATAAAATTAGGACTTTTCAATAAATGAGGTTGGTTGCATGGAATACATTATATGTTTCTGCTTCATTATAAAATCATTCACCATTAAAGGAAAACATTATCTGTATTGGTGCCTATGTGAACTAATTTCAGCGAATTGGATGTGGTCAAATTTTGTCATTGTACCTCACGTTGCGAGGGCGGCTGCAGGGTCAGCCTGGTGGGATCTGACATCCTACAGGGTTTTGGTACCTGGTTTTGAGAGGTGCCTGTATCAACTCCGCAGTATTTTTCCCGTGCAAAGGACATTTTGTTACATAAGGCTCACACTTTATATTGTTTTCTAAATAGAATAACAAGCAGCAGCTTTTACAGCCCTAAACGTGGTATGTTGAATGGTCATGTTCCCTTAATTTTTCAAAAGGAAATAAAAAAAAAAAAAAAAAAGTCATCTGTGTTTTCACAGTTTAAAGATCCAGTGTGTGACTTCAGCGAGTTAAATACTCTTGCCAAGCTTTCTCCGCGTGTGGCTCGGGACTCGCGTGTAGTGGACAACTCCAGAGGAGCCGTTTATAAAACTGGTAAAACTCCTGTTTGTGGGATAGGAATTCATAGTTACATCCATGGCAATGCTTCCTTTGTTCTCTCTTCTTTTTTTCCTTTTCCTCTTATACCAGTAACAACAAAGTTTTCCTTAGTATTTGGAATAAATCCTACAAGCCAGAAATGGGGAGGGGTCAGGCAGCAGGCAGGTTCTGCTTTGCCTTTTTATAATGAGTACTTCTAATAGTTGTACATTTACCTACTGTGTTGACTGAAGATTTTTTTTATATTATTTTTTTTCTTGCCTGCCTGCAAATACCTTTCTTGCAGGAATTTCTAATTTCTGCCCCGCCCTACAAGCTGTTAGCACTGAGGCTGTGCTGGGCTGTACGGGGAGCTCGCAGCGCGGGGAGCTCTGCTCACCATCACCTTCAGGCAAGCTCGCGACTCTGAGCCGTGTCTGGTTCAGAACTGAAGGATGAACTCTGCGTTTAAAATAGGGCCCTGTCTCCCCTAAAACTGGTAAGGTGAAGAAGGGAAAAAAGGTGAGTTTATTCCGTATAACCCCAAGCTCTTTCAGGTTTCTTGAAGCTCTGCAGGCGTGGAGCGTCCCGCCTCTCCCCTTCCTCTGTGGCACCCCGCAGCACAGAGCCGGGGAGCCCCGGCCCCGGGAGCAGAGCTGCTCCCTGGTTTATCCTGGTGGCTTCAGTAAAGGGGTTTGTCATGAAAAATGTCTCTGACCAGGTGCTGGAGCAGAACCCGGTAAACGGATTTCCCTGAAGCGGACAGAAAGCAGTTTTTCTCTGGCCACTGATTGTCTCGTAGGAAAATACTCCAGTTTATATTCGGGAAGAGTCACTTGGTGCTGCAGGAGTTTGAGCCTGGTAGCGTGCGCGGTGCAAATCCAAATGTTCTCTGTGCACGTGCACATAGTGCCGATGCCCCTTTGCATTTAAGATGGAAGCTGGCGACGTGTCCTGCCAGCCCGAAGGTGTCAGACTTACCCTGGTTGCAGACCTGTTGGGCTCAAAGGCCCCGACCTCCCTTTGGTAGGAAAAAAAAAAAATCTCCTCGAGCTGGTCCCGGGCCTGCAGCTCGTGCAGCTCTGGAGCTGGGGCGCGAAGCTGGCGCCCTGCCCTCGCTGCGGGCAGCCCGGCCGGCAGCCAAGGGCCCCGGCTCCCCTGGCCTTTGTAGGCTGAAACGCTGCTGCTTCTGCCAGCTACCGAAACAACCAATACAAGGGCTTTGCAATTGGCTTTATTTAAATGCAAATTCCCGTCGGTTCATTATTATCAGGTTCCGCTGCAACAAATAATCAAACACACGTGGCTTGCAGGATCCACCACAGGACTCTTAATTTGACTGAATGGTTTTCTCGGTGCTTTGGCTCAGAACTGTGTTAGCTGCTGGATTGGTTCCTAACAAGCAGCATGGGATCTTTGTTGCAGAAAAGCAGCATATGCTTGTGTTTTTTGGTTTTTCGTTTTTTTGTTTTTTTTTTTTTTTTTCCCTAGCACACCAAACTTCAGGGGAATCTCAAAAACCTTTACTGAAGTTGTTCAAACTAACCTGGACTCAAATTTTATTTCAAAGGACAAAAAATGGCCTGAGAAATGCAGTCAAAAAGCTTTGTCCAAGCCCATGAGAAATGGCTGGAGCTGACACCTGTAGCCCAATCGGTACAAAAGCTTCAGCATCACCAGGGCCAGTGTGCTGCTGCTCAGTTTAGGTGCCCTCTGACACTGCTGGAAATTTTCTTTGTCCTCTGTTTGCAGTTGAGCTCCCTTCACCTGCGTCTCTTCCTGTCCACAACGGTGACTTGTTATCAAAAGCAAGTGCCTTGTCTGCAAGGCCAGACCTTAAACTCTGGAGCCCAGCGTTCAGTGGGAGCAGCTCAGTGGCGGTGAACGGATTGCGGAGCAAGGTGGGAAGCGTCTCCGTGGTGTGGCTGCATCTTGAAATCTGTGTCTGGTTCTGGCTACCTCGTTGCCAGCATGAAGTCAGCCTTCCAAAGCGAAATTGGAGAATGGCATTAGTTCAAGGAATTGCACAAGCTTAAATTACGAGAGAGAATGTACGACTTTGGCATGTGGACTATAAATCCATGGAAAGCTGTCAAGACCGAGGCATGAACGGCTGCGTCTGGAGCGCTGCTCACAATCAGAGTTAAATGGAAATCATGAGATGAAATAAACCAAAGGTAAAACTACTGTGACCAGGGGACAGCGAAAGGTAACTTGGAAGTTACTTCAGGGTCTAAAGGAAGCAGAAACCCTGTTGCAAATTGAAGTAGACAGTTAAAAATGATAGACTAGAAAAAACTGTGCCCTTGATCAGCTCAAGGCCTGACCACCCTGGGCCCCTCTTTGGAAAAGGACTGTTTCAGATTGCTTTTTCTTTTTTTCTCAGGGGAGCAATGTAACTCACTCCTCTGGCTCTGCTTTGTGCATCCCAGTGTGGACTTCAGGAGGTGTTGCTTTTCCCTACAACTGTCCAGGATTTTATCCTGCTCTTTGGCATGCCTGAGAGGCTGAACTGCTGCTGAAAGCCTTAAAATTGTTCAGGCAAAATTGCTGCAGCTTTCTTGCCAGGCCTTGGCCCAAAAAGCTTTATGGCGAAGCCCTGCAGGTTCCTGCAGGATCTTCCTTTGCAGGACATGGGCTGAGATCAGAAAATGAGCAAGGCAAGTTGGGATCTTTAAAGGGGTTCTTCAGAAATTGTCTCTAGTACACTTAGCGTTTCTCTAGATCATACTGACATCTTGACAAAGATTCTCTCTGAATTAATTTATTGGAGGCACACTGAAAATGAATTCTTACTTTGCTCTGGCAGGATATGTGCGCTTCTGTTTTGGATGTTCAGATTTTTCACCTCCCTAAGCAGAGAACACCAAACCCTGAGATGCTTGGCCCCCACAGGACGATAGCGATGGTTAGAAAATAAAAAGTGGAAGCTCTCCAAATATCTTACAGCACACTAAGAATCTTTAGTGAATCTTTAGTAATACTTTTATTTTCCTCATAAAGTAGACATTTCCAGGTCTCTTACCTTCACTAAAAGAGCAGCAAGATTTCTCTTGAGTGAATGAAGCCTCTCGTAGCCCTGTTTTCTTGAGTAAGTTTCTATTATTTCCTTCAATTTACAGTTAAAAATATATACAGTAATACATAAGCTGAATGGAAAGCTGGAGGTTGATTTTGTGAAGTGTTGATATAATTAATTAAGGCCAGTTCAAATACAAATATGTTGGAAAGGAAAATTCATCTGTGCACCAGAAATGAAATCCCTCAATTCAGTGAAGCCTGCAGCCCGTACCGTCTGTACTGTGTATGGTGTCCTGATAGGCTTAACACCTGCACGTATGGAAGGTGGAAAAGATGTTACCAAAAGGCAGCCAGACCTAAAGTCTTCCTAGCTAGCTGTACTTTATCTGATATGGAACGGATCTAGAAAAAATGAGAGATCACAGCAGCTTTGAAAAGACGGAATATTGGCCTAAATCTAATTAAAAATTTGTTAAGAAGCGATATATGTGTGTGAACACACGAAATATAGAATCAATAGCTGACCACATGGTAAAGAAACTAGGGTTCTCTTTTTTTATTACTCTCACTATTCTAAAGAAAGTGAAGATCAGAATTTTCTTCTAATCAGCACTGTCTGAAATCTGAATCTTCAAACCTTAGCTAAGTAGCTACAACTTGGGAAACAAAACAAAACAAAACCACAAACCAACCAAAAATCAAAACAGCTCCTAGTAAGTAGCGAAAGAAAACCAAAACTCATTGGGTGGTATTTTGGGTTTCAGAACAGTTCAGCAGAGAACACTAACGGACCCTCAAGCCCGGCTGAGCAGTCTGACGTGGGGCGGGCGGCCGCGATTCAAAGCGGGAGATCCTCCGTGGGGAACCCCACGCTGTCCTAGCTCTTGCACAGCAGCTTCCAAACGCCAGGATCACTGTGGGGGTAGCTACCTGTTGGTGGTACTTCAAGCATAAAAGCCGCAATGACTACAGACAGCAAATGGAGTCTGTTGCTAAGTGCAGTGGCACCAAACAGCTCGGAGAGCTAAGTCACAGACTTGCTCTGGGAGGAAAAAAGAAACCTCAAGCCGGGTCAACAGCTGCTGCCGTGGGCTCTGCTATGGCCAGAAGCCATGTGTCAGCAGTATGGCAGCAGCCTACTTCAAACATTTACTCCTCAGCAGCTGTGAAGAAAGAAATCGTAACCCCCTGCAGTATTTGATCAGTTGTGTCCAACTGCAGCGCTACCTTCCACTGTTCCTACCATCATTTTGACATCTGCGAATCTAACAGAGGAAGTAATTACAAATTTAATGCTTTGCTACTGAGCTTTCTTTTCAACAGCTAGCAAAAATGTTGTTTTAAGGGAGAGACCACTTCAGTTAAAGAGGTTCCCAAAGTTATAGTCCTTATACTTTTTGTGGTTATATTATTGCTTCACCACAGTCATTTTCATCCTTATTGCTTCTCTCTTAAGCTGTAATCCTCTCGTAACAAGA